TCAGACAGTCGAATTGGTACATTCTCAAACGTTTCGCCGGCCTCGCAGTCGGCATCATCATCAACTACGAACTCGTCAAAGCGACAAGTGAAGTCAATGCCTCGACAACCGTTCTGCTGGAAACGGTTACACCATCACTCCTGGGTTAAGAGGGCAAAGAGTAGATAGATAGACAATGAGAGAAAGTCCACTGTCAGATGCTGGGAATCATGACAACTACTATGGCAGACGCGACTCGGTGCGTTCTACATAGTCTCCCTGAGCACAAGACCAAGTTGCGACAACGAGGTCAACCCACTTCTTTTACCCAGGGTAGTTTAGTCGATTGCCATGGAGACTACAACTTTGCTTCACCCAAAGTGCCAGCACGGAATGTGAAATGCGAAAATGCCAGGCCTTCCTCGAAGTTCACATCTGTCCCGTGGCCCGAGGGCACTCGTGACAATCTGACGTAGTGGTTGGCGTGGCTCGAGTCCCATTGGGGGTGCTGATGATACCAGTTTGGGCGAGCTCCAGACTGCAGTCCACTTCAGTCTGGCTGAGAATGACTTTTGGGCAAGCAGGGCATTGCGAAATTTAATGGAAGCGTCAGCTCGACCCATCTGCTTGTGGGCAAATTCAAGTACCAGTTCCCTTGTCACCTAAAATGAAGTAGCGTGAATACTCCTCACATATGTTTGATGAAGTTATCCTGAAAGGCAGTTGCATACTTGACTTATGCTGAGGGCAAAAGATCAACAGAAGAATGCGTCTAGGACATCTACACTCAAATCGACAGTCATAACGCCGATGCGACTCATCTTCCATTAGCGACGATACATCAAGCTACCAGTTCGGGCTAAATGTTGCGTTCTGCAAACGACACTGTCTTATTCCCAACCCTCAAAAGTCAATTGCACGACGTCTCTGCATGGCACTTTTTGCCCAGCTTCGTTGTATGGCCTTTGTATAAGTGGGAAAGCCTGATTTATGTCCCATATGCCAGGTCCCTTTGCATGTGAGAGAACCGAGGGAAACTACCTTATGACACCACCGTGGTGGCCAGCAAGGAAGGTAGCCTGTAGGAGGATTACTTTTACTCAACCAAACAGACATTATGGGTGATCATATCTTGACAAGATAACTTGGCCAGATTCATAACTCATAAAGACACGCCCATGGCGAGGATTTGATCTCAAAGATAAGTGCATAAACGCTCAAGAGAATGTCGCAAAACTGTTTGGGATCCGGAATGGCATCCTCCATTTAGAAGTGTACCATTGTGTATGTGCGCCGGTTAGACTTCCATTGTTTGAGTAATCGCTTGCAAAACCGAGAAGTTTAAAGTATTGCACTTTTTCGGCAGGAGAATCAAGATGCTGTGACCTTCACTGTGGTCACAATTTCATTGCAGTAGTTGGAAAGCGTTTTCGAAAATGGGTCGAGAAGTGAGGGGAACCTGGAAGAACTCACGTGGTACTGGGGAATATAAAAGAATAAGGACAGCAGTTTTTCAAGTAAATGAAAATGTACCGAGAAAACAAAAATTAAACGAAAGAAATCGAAATCAAAATTGAGATAAAAGTAGAGAAAGAAAATGAGAAAAGTGAATTAAAGGATAGAAAGTAAAGAATAAATAAAATAGAAATGAAGAGAGATACAGAAAATAAAGGAAAAAAGAAATAAAACACGTGAGGGAAAATAAAGAATTTAAATAAGAGCAAGAAAATATGAATAGAAATGAGAAAAAGAGAAATAAAGAAAGAAATAGAAAAAGACTAAAAGCAAATAGGAGAATGGATAATAAGAAATGAAATGTGATGAGTAGCGATGAAATAAGCTTAGAGGATGAGGTAAGTAGAGTAAAGATGGGATAAGTTAAGAAGGGAGAGAAAAATACGAAAAGAAATAAGATTAGAGGGGAAGAATTGAAATAGAAAAAGAAAAGATCAGAGGATAGGAAATAAGAATAGAAATAACAAGGAAAGGAGAGAAGATAAGATGAAATAAAAGCGATTGGAAATTTTGGATGAGAGTAAATTAGATAAGAGAAGAGATGAGTTAAGTTTGAATGAGATGGGTAAATTTGAGGTGAGATGAGGTGATAGGAGATAAGCTAAAAGAGGTAAGTTGAGATGAAATGAATGAAAAAGAGATAAAATGAATGAAAAAGAGATGAAATGAGGCAAATCAGATCAATAGAGAGAAGATGATAAAAGATGATAAAATTTAGGATGCTATTGAATTAAAAGATTGGAAAACAGAATATGAGAATAAATGAGACGAGATGGGATGATATAAGGAGGTATAATATAAG